GGGGGGGGGGGGGGGGGGGGGAACAAGTAGTACTACTAAATAGTCACAATAAGGAAATATGATAATTGAAGCGAACTAAACGACATAACGTAATATAGATCTACGAATATGAAGGGACATGAGTGCTACTAGTACTACTGATAAGAAAATGAGAGACTTTGAACTACCTACTAACCTTCTACCCTATTCCTCGACCTCCACACTCTCTATCTAGGGTCATGTCCTCATTAAGGTGAAACATCCCCATTTCCTGCCTAATCACCTCTCCCCAATACTTCTTTGGCCTACCTCGACCTCTTTTCAAACCCGCCATGGCCAACCACTCATACCTCAGGAGCACCACTGCTTCATCTTTTAACATGTCTGAACCATCTCAGCCTCCACTCTCACTTTGTCCTAAATAACTTCATTCCTAGTTTTATCTCTCCTAGTAAACCCAAACATCCATCTCAACATCCTCATCTTTGCTACTTTCATCTTCTGTACATGGAGTTCTTGACTGAACACTCAGCTCCATATAACTTAGTTGGATGAACCACCAATTTGTGACATTTACCTTTAATTCTTGGCGGCACATTGTTATCACATAGAACATCGGATGCGAGCCTTCGTTGCCTCCATTTCATCCATACGATGCGTGACATCCTCATTGATCTCCCTGCTACCTTGAATAATAGACCCGAGATACTTGAAACTACATCTCTTTGGGATAACTTGAGTATCAAGCTTCACATCCATGTCTGCTTCTTGATTCCAGTCATTGAATTTGCACCCCGAGTATTCCGTTAAACAATATACGGGTAGATTAGTAATTACTACATAAGTTAGTTATTAGTTGTTAAATATCTGTTAAGTTGTTAGGTTAGTAGTTAAAGTAGCTAAGTATAAAGGGGCTATCGTGTACTCAGATATCATCATTTTTAATAATATATTTTCACTCTCTTTCTCTCTATCATCTCTGTACTCTCTCTTCTTCCTCAATTATCAACATGATATAAGAGCTTTGCTGGTGAAATCGAAGCTCCTGATCTAAAATTTTCTTTCGCAATCGTTCTTCTCTGAAATTCTCTTGGTGAAAATTCCGTTCTTCTGAATTCCCCACAGCTGGGTGTTACATTGTTGAGAAAGAAACAAGAAAGACGAAAATGGGGACAACTGAAGAAACTCCAAATCTCAATTCTGGACTCAATTATAGAAATCAAATAAATCAAGTGACAGGGAACGATTATAATCATCCACTATTTCTCCCACATACAAATGTTAGCGGAATTCAAATCATCTCATTTCAGCTAACAGGTATTGAAAATTACTCTTTTGGAATAGGCCTATGCGGGTAGCTCTGTTGGGTAGGAATAAATTAGGTTGGTTGATAGTACATACAGTAAAGATAGATTCCCAGATTCTATGGAAAATTATTGGGAAAAAATAAATGCCATTGTTCTATCTTGGCTTATAAATTCTATGGCCAAAGGTCTACTTGGAGGAATTATGTATGCATCTAATGCACAAATAGTTTGGGAAGACTTAGCCGAGAGATTTAATAAAGTTGATGGCTCAAGAACTTTTAATTTGCATAAAGAAATAGCCACATTAACTCAAGGCTCTGCATCCGTCTCAGTTTATTTTTCAAAACTTAAAGATCTTTGCGAGGAGTTTGAAGCTTTAGTCCCTTCTCCTGGGTGCGATTGTCCTAAATCAAGAGATTTTGTTAACTATTGAGGATGTACCAGTTTTAATGGGGTTAAATGATTCTTATTCACAAGCAAGAAGCCAGTTCCTAATGAAGACACCTCTACCTATTGTGAATGAGGCTTATTCCTTGATAGTGAGTGATGAAAGTCAAAGGTCTATAGCAGCCAATTCAGGAATTCTTGAAGCTAATCGTGTATGAAACTTTGAAGTTGCTATGTATACCAGAAATGGGGGAGGTGGACAAAATCAAAGGGTCAAGAAGAACTTTAATGTTCAATGTGAATACTGCAAATTGAAAGGCCATACAAAAGAATACTGTTATAAACTTGTGGGATATCCTCAAGATTTCAGACAGAAGAAAAGAGGGTATAATGCTGCTCACAATGCTAACATTTTGAGTGGGAATGATTACAATCAAAATCAAAATCTTACAGCACCTACATTTGCATATGGTCAGAACACTAATGTCATAAATCAGTCTGCTTGTGGAAATCAAGTATCCTATAATCAAGGACTGGAAGCAGTTGCAAGCCAATTGGGAAACTATACATTCACAAATGACCAATATGATCAGATTGTTCAACTGTTGAACAAACGAGGAATCTCAACAATCACCAACAATGAAGATTCATCTACAAATGTAACATGTACTGATACAGCATAATTGGTTTCAAATGGTTCATAGGAATGGATTATAGACACTAGTGCAACCAACCATATGGTGTCAGATACTAACCTTCTGAAAAAGTCTACAATAGTTCAAACAGTCAAATCCTAAGAAGGTTATGTTACCGAATGGTGATGTGTCTATAGTCACAAACACAGGGGCAAGTTCAATTTCTAACAAAAGCACTATAACTAATGTATTTCATGTGCCTCAATTTAAGTATAATCTTCTTTCAGTATCAAAATAACTAAAGAACTTCAGTGTGCTGCAAATTCTTTCCTGACTTTTGTGTTTTCCAGGATCTCTTCACTGTGAAGGTGAGGGAGATTGGTAAATAAGAAAGAGGATTGTACATACTATTAGCTCGACTAGCAAGGAATGAGTAAAATGTTGTGTATTCTGCAAAAGGTTTGACTACAAGTGAAGTAAATCGGACCAATGTGGAGTTATGGCATCAGAGACTTGGACATTGTCTATTTTAGTGCTTAAGAAAATACTGGCTATTAGTGTACAGAATATCAGAGATAAAGATAAATGCACAATTTGTCCTTGTGCTAAACAAACTGAATTGCAGTTTCCTTCTAGTGATATCAGAAGTGTATGCTGTTTTGATTTGATTCATGTACACCTATAGGGTCTTTACAGAGTAGCTACTTTTGATGGTAACAAGTACTTTCTAACAGTTGTAGATGATTACAGTAGAATGACATGGGTGTTTCTGCTTAAATAAAAATCAGATGTACATCAGTGCTTACAACATTTCTTTAACTTTGTAAAGACTCGGTTTAATAAGGTCATCAAGATTATTAGAACAGACAATGGCACAGAGTTTGTAAATTACCTTTGTGAACAATTGTTCAAGAATCTTGGGATGATTCATCAAAGAACCTGTGCTTACACTCCTCAACGTAATGGGGTAGCAGAAAGAAAGCACAGACATGTGTTATAAGTAACAAGAGCTATAAGACTGCAAGCTCATATCCCTATTAGGTTCTGGGGTCACTACATTCTGGCTGCAATATATATATATATAATTAACACGTTACCTAGTTTAGTAATTGCAAATATATCTCCTTATGAGAGACTACATAACAGAAAACCATCTCTAAGTCACTTAAGAGTGCCAGGTTGCATGTGTTTTGCAAAAGTAGTTTAGGAACATGACAAGCTAATGTCTAGATCAAAAGTATCTGTGCATATGGGATACACAAAAGTTCACAAGGCTATGTATTATATGATATGGATAATAGATCCGTCTTCATCAACAAAGATGTAATATTCAAAGAAAACATCTTTCCATTTAGAAGAATAGATTCCACCTCAACACCTGTGTTTATAGACACCCCACCAACTATAGGCTCATAAATGGACAATTCAGAAATTCTTTTTGAGACTATCTCAGATCACCAGGCTAACACCATAAACTAATGCAGGCTACAGTAATGACAATACAGGTAGTCCATCCACAATAGCTGATACTATAGAAGAAACTTATAATCCTCAATCAGTTCATGATTTCCAAAATCACAGTACGCTTGAAGGGGAGCCACAAGTACAACAAAACAAACAAAGTGTATCCACTAGACCTCATACCAGAAGTCAAGCCAACTCAGACCAACCTACTGTCAGGAAGTTCAATAGAGATAAACAGCCACCAGTATGGTTGAAGGACTTTGTGTCCCTGAATATTCATCAAGAGGTACCTTATGCCTTAAATAAATACATAAGATATGATCATTTATCTCCTAAATATCAAGCTTTTACTGCTGCCTTCTCATCAACTACTGAACCCACTACATATGCTGAAGCAAGTAAAGATCCAAGAAGGATACAAGCTATGAAAGAAGAAATAAAAGTACTAGAAGGTAATAACACCTGGACATTGGTCACTTTACCTGAGGGAAAGAGACTTATAGGATGTAAGTGAATACATACAATTAAATACAAGGCATCAGGATAGATAGAGAGGTTTAAGGCTAGACTGGTAGCAAAAAGCTATAGTCAACAAGAGGGTATTGACTATCAAGAAACCTTTTCACCAGTAGTGAAGATAGTAATTGCTAGAACCATATTAGCACTGCAAGCAGCCAAGCACTGGCATAAGCACCAAATGGATGTATACAATTCCTTTCTACAAGCGATCTACTTGATGAAATCTACATGGATTTACCACAAGGATTTAGAGGTCAAGGGGAGAAGAAAGTATGCAGACTCACTAAATCCTTGTATGGGCTAAAACAAGCCCCAAGGCAATGGAACTTAAAACTATCTGAAGCTCTTTTGAAATTACAGTTCAAACAAAGTCAATCAGATCATTCTTTATATATAAAAAAGACAGATGAAGGTATGGTTTTGGTGCTGATCTACGTTGCTGATATGGTAGTTACAGGAAGCAATTTAAAGATGATTCAAGACACTAAAACTTCCCTACAAAACATCTTCAAGTTGAAGGATTTAGGAGAGTTAAGGTATTTTCTGGGACTAAAGTTTGCTAGATCGAGCAAATGGAACGTTATGCATCAGAGAAAATACTTATAGCACAAGTTGGACTAACTGCAGCTAAACCATCGACTACACCAATTGATACCAATGTTAAGCTCACAACAAAAGAATATGATGAGCACACTTCAAAGAATGACATATCAGTCGAAGACTCTACAGCAGATCAGACAGTCTTGTATCTAACAATTACTATACCAGATATTATAACCTATGGAGTTCAAGCTCTAAGTCAATTCCTTCAGCAACCAAAGAAATCTCATATGGAAGATGCGTTAAGAATTGTGAAATATGTGAAGAACAATCCAGGACAAGGTATACTGTTATCAAGTCAATATATCAACACTGTCACAACATATTGTGATGCAGACTGGGCAGCTTGCCCAATCACTAGGAGATCTGTTACAGGTTCTTTTTTATCAAAGTGAGCAATTCTCTAGTATCTTGGAAGTTCAATAAGAAAACTACTACATCAAGAAGTTCTGCAGAAGCATTATACAGAAGCTTAGCTGCAACAATAGCAAATTGATATGGCTACTGGGAATGTTGAAAGAAATTGATGAAGAAGTTAAATTACGAGTAGACATTTTCACTGATAGCAAAGCAGCCATTCAAATTGCTGCCAACCCAGTCTATCATGAGAGAACCAAGCATATAGAGATAGACTGTCAGTTTGTCACTTTATAAGGGGAAAAATTCAACAAGGACTGGTCTGCACAAAGTATATACCTACCAATGATCAACCTGCAGATTTGCTCACAAAAGGATTAAGTAAAGTTCAACATGCATATTTGAGTTCCAAGTTAGGTGTTTTTGACATCTTTACACCACCTAACTTGAGGAGTGTTACATAATATAAGGGCAAATTAGTAATTGCCACATAAGTTGGTTATTGGTTGTTAAATATCTGTTAAGTTGTTATGTTAGTAGTTAAAGTAGCTAAGTATAAAGGGCTATCGTGTACTCAGATATCGTCATTTCTAATAATACATTTTCACTCTCTATCATCTTCGTACTCTCTCTTCTTCCTCAATTATGAACATATTTTGTTTTGGTCCTACTAAACTTGAAACTGTTAGGCTCCAAGATTTGTCTCCAAACCTCCAAATGTGCGTTAACCCTGCCCCGCATTTCGTGGCTCAACACTATATCATCGAAAAATAACATGCACCATGGTACCTCCCCTTGGATATACCGCATCAGCACGTCCTCACCAAGACAAATAAAAACGGGCTAAAGGTCGATCCTTGGTGCAGCTCCATCACAACTGGGAAGTGTTTCGAGTAACCTCCCACAAACTCACCCGAGTCTTAGCACTACCATATATATCTTTAATCACCCTAGTGTACGCTACCGGAACGCCACTAACTTCAAAACTTTGTCGTAGGCTTTTTTAAGGTCAATAAACATCATATGCAGGTCCTTCTTTCTTTCCCTATACTGTTCCACTAATCTTCTCACCCGATAAATAGTTTCCGTAGTCAACATGAATGCGTAATATGCTGATAAAAAATATCTTTAATACTGCTATTGTGGGATTTTAGAACCAACGTATTATGTCACATGTATTTAAGATCTTTGTGTTCTTTCATAAATAAGCCCATAGTCGTGTTTCATCTTCCAAAGCTAATTTTCACAGTTTTCATGAACTTGACTTTTTCAGTTTTTATGTGATATATTTAGATGATTTTTTGGAAGCAACTTTGCCAATAAATACAATTTTTTGAAAACTGTTACGAAGTTATTTTTCGGTTGCGCCAGCCCGGTCATCTAATCCTCGTTATATGTCATTATGTATTTGTTGATGAAAAAAAAGTTGTAGTCCCTCCGCTCCAAAATTAGTGATTTTTGAGCTCTTTTTTTGTGGTCCAAAATAAGTGATTTTTCTAGATTTCAAGATGAATTAATTATTTTTTTTATATATTGCCTTGGAGTAAATAGTGTTGGAGTATGTGTTAGGAGTATTTATGTGAAGAGATAATAAAGGTTATGATCAATTTTATTGCTAATTAATGTTAAAAGGTGAATTTATCTATGTGAAAACAGCTAAAATATCACTTAATTTGAAACGGAAAGAGTAGTGTATGTGGGCTAACTTCGATTTTCGCAAATTTCAAGTGAGCATTAGGCAATTGTGGTTGTAATTTGTTGATGGGTAGAGTTGGAGGACTAGTGGTCCTGTGTGTTTGGACTCAAGTATGGAGAGATGCAAAGAGCAATGTCTCATTATATTATGCGGTCCCTGTTTTCTTTGAATACTTTGCTGTAAATTATTTATAAATTGCACATTATTGATAGCTTCAAAAGCATTAATATTTTTTTTTTTAAAAAAACCAGGTGCGTATGGCATCTCGCGTTCACACAGGGTTCGAGGAAGAGTCGTACCTAAAAGAGCGTGATGTAAACCGTCTATCCTAATGTAAGACATTAGTGACTGCTTCTATGCTCGAACCCGTAGCCTATGGATCACACGAAAACTACTTTACTGTTGCTTCAATGCTCTCCTTTTTTCTGTAAAATAAGCAAAATAAATAATTTTGGTTCGAAAAAAATATGATCACTTTCTCCGAAACCATAACTAAATATAACCTCTCTAAATAACGTAAAATTACAATTAGCTCAACAATAATACAAACTTAAATATTAAATACGCCAAATTTAACTTTTGAGTCCCACAAATCCAATTCTCATATTGTAAAACATATGCCTTCCCTAAGGGCATCTCCAACCTTTACTCCCATTTTGGCCCCTATAATGGGGATTTTTCCATTTTTGGAACAACTTACTTCAACCATTCTCCCCATCCCCCCCC